TGGTAAGGCTGAAATCAGTAGGAAGCTTTGTTTGTAAAACTGCTACAGAGCCTAACCCCCTCCGTACCACTACAAAGCACAGCAGTGATACTGTGGCTTCAAGAGGAGTATTACCAGTGACAAACTCAGTAAAACGATCATTCTTCTCTTGTTTCACATTCCCCTCCCTTCCGCCTGGCGTGTTTGTTTTCTGTCTTCTTGATTGACCTTGATGTAAGTGCTGCATTAGCAGAGCATATTTTGGAATGTGATCTGTCTTTTTAACAAAGTTACGACTGGCTTCACTTAGATTTTAATGCAGCTGAGCCTTGATCTTAAGAGACACCTAATCCTTTCTTGCCTCGTTACAATTTTACCATTATTTGCGCTGACAGCACACAATGATGAAAGAAAACAGCCAATGGCTTTTGTGTAAGCAGAAAATCTTGCTATCCTGTTATGATCCTAAAACCTCTGAGCATCCCTTCACTGAGCGTTGATGACATCAAGTGCTGCGCTCCTCGTGCCACCGTAAAAATGTGTTTTCTTATCTACCATAGTTCAACAGGTACAACCACCATCAAAGTGACAAACAAAAAACGTGTTGGCTTATAAACAAATATTTCCTGCATTTCACACATACTGGGAGTCTTGCGTTAACATAGCTGACATTGTTTGAATTCATACTTTAAGCTTTGTGTTTCTGGTGTCTGAACAGATGTTTTCATGTCTCTCCAGAGCTACATTACATGCAATCTTGTCATCATCAAATATTCTACATAAGTGTTTTTTTCCCCCTTCAGCTTCATTTCTAATTATCTCTTGACCCCTTTGTCACGTTGATGGATAGCCCCACAGGATTGTGGATAACAACATCCATCTGGGACACTGCTGACAGTGGAAAGGGACAAGAACATGAGTGTGTTTGGAGTGTGTGGGCTTTTGCCTTCTCATAGATGGAAAAGCTGCAAAAACAGAGAGGGAAAAGATTGACACTGGAAAGGATTATTATGTATGACTAGTATGAATTCGAGTATGAACCAGCTATAATAAGTTAGCTCAGCTTGCAGAAATAGTAAATATTATATTAGGGCACCGCAGAGCCAGCAGGCCTGTGCATACCTACGTAGATGATACTCTAATGTGCATGCCACAAGCATTGTTCCCTTAAAAGATAAGGAACTTTTTTATTGGAAGCCTACTCTCTGCATTGAGCAGTCTTATCTTCTTACAGTAACTTGGCATGTTGCTCTCTGACCCGGCTTGCCAAATTATGCACAATGACGTGTGACCAGCCTACACTCATACACACCACAACTTTCTTGTTGCCTTCATTACCCCTCAGTGTTGGCCTTCGGCTCTAAAGATAAAAACTCTTGACACTCATCCAGCCAGGATTTAATTGTTGAAGCCCACTTCAAAGCCAGGCCTTATTCACCCTGGTGCCCCTGCTGACAGAAACCCGCTCTCGTCTTCACTGCTGCTTGTGTTTTCTTTTCTTCCTTATCTTGAAAAGAAAGAAAAACCTGGATAAGAAGTGAGAGGGGGGGAGAGGGGAATATGCTTTTGTTCCTTCCGTTGATTTTTCTTTCTAAGGCTCTAAGGCAATGCTTTCCCCACTATTATTACGCAAAGATGTTCCCAAAGTCTGTTTTTTCTTTTTTGTGTGTGTGTGCTTTCCTCTTACTGTTTCAGGCTCTTGGGTTATACTGTGTATTAATCAGCCAACATGTCTTCTTCTAGTATGGACCAGAAACCTGAACTCACGCATAAAAAACCCCACAGAAGTAAGCACGATTATCGCGTGACAGACAGACAAGGTCACATTAATTCAATCCATTGTCGGTTCATAAACCTAAAATAAGCTTCCTTACTTTTTCAAACTCACCGGCTGTCTGTCTCAGAAATATCTCAAATGCACAGGGGAGAGAAAAGGAAATTACAACTCAAGGAGAGAGAAAGAAGGCTAAAAGGGAGGGGGGAGGGCCATTCCTCAAAATTTTAATCTCTCTTTCAGCCCTCCACCTCCACTCACAGGAGGCAGTCAGTACCAGAGCATATTGGATCAATGCTGCACTGACGCCACAACTGCACCTTATCTTAACCTCCGATCTGCATAAGCCACACATTTGAAGGGAAAGAAAGCAGGCAAATCTAAACTATCAAGCTACAGTTTATCTGTGATCTGGCTATATTCGCTGGGTAAATCCCTCCCCATCCACCTCCACCGCAGTTTCTCCTCCATTGGGTTATCAGATGTGCCTGGCCCACTTTGGAATGAGGCACACTCAAATAAACACGTTGCCCCGGGGAGCTACGGTAGAATCGCCACGATGAGTTTCTAAGAAAAATATTCACAGTTTTATCTGCATAGCTTACTCTTCTCTCAAAGCTGCCTTGATGTTGTTGTATATTCTGGCAGCGGACCCCTATACCCATGTCTGGCCCTGATATATTGTAACAAAGTGAAGTTCCGCTATGTCCAGAAGAAATAAGAACATTTTTTTGGACAACTTCTAACACTCAATATACTTTTTCTACATTTTGAAGAAGGTTAAAATAACGTGTGTGTACCCTCTCTAATACACACGCGATATTGGCCTGAAACTAAAATGCAGCACCCGGCACAGTGATGCTATGAAAACCTGAAACCATCTGCATGCATTCCAGCTGTTGTTTGATTCTCCCTATCCTCTTTATCTCCTGTTTATCTTCCCAAATCCTTTTATTTTTCCTTGCTCTACACACATATGCAGCACAGCAGCTACACTTTCTTTTCCCCTTTTTTCATCTATGCATCCATAATTTCTGAGCCTGGTCTCAAAAAATCAGTCTCCAAGACTATATCTGGCCTTTGGAGTTGTGACTCAAGTATTTGTTGAGCAGAATATGAATTTCTGAACAGGTGAAAATAAACTATATCACCTGTTTAAGTGAGTGTGTGTATTTAGTCATAGTCGCCAGCAAGCTTATGTCATGTTTGCTTTCAGCACGAGATTTTCCAGCACAGAAGGCGTCTAACTTTCTGCATGGCTGACAAAGCTGGACAGTGTTTCCATCCTGTTAGCAGGTGCAGACTCTAAAACCCCGCTAGCTGTTTTGCTTAATAAACATGTAAAGTTTGAGCAGGTTCATGTCATTAACATTTGGCTGAACAGAACAATAGTTCTGCCTTGTTGGAAAGAGTTGGCAGTGGGAGCTCAAGCCTATGCCATAGGTGCTTTTAGTTTATACACTGGAGAAGGAAAATAAGAGATGGGGAACTCTTTCCAAGGAGGTTGCAATTTCAAGGAGGAGCGGAAAGAAAAGTATGCCAAAAGGGAAGGAAAATAAATGCCATAGCTGTGGTGTGATGAGATGATACTCGCCCTTCCTCTGGCTCACTGATGTAGCTGCCTTGATCTCCTCTCCAAGTTCAGACATTGGATACAATGACTTTTTTTGTGCATGTTTTATTAAAAAGTGAAAAGAAAGACCAGAGCATGATATTGAAAAGTTCTTAAAATTTACATCTACTCTTTTGCCACAGTAACATTTACCGGGCCTAAAACTTCTACTTTGTATTAATGAAACAGCAAAACATGGCTAATGATGCCTACTGCATGAGTCAATTAAGGTAAACAACAACAACACTTGATTTTAAACCCTGTATTTAATCATAAATAGTACAAAGACAACAAATGCTGAACCTGTACCAGAGATTATGGAATTTTTATACTATTTATTTAATTTAAAGGAGATATTTTTCACATATTAACATGTAAGTTTGGGGGAAAAAAGAAGAAAAAAAAGAATAGAATCAAAAAATAAAACACACAATAATTTATTTGGCTATTTTGGTGAAATGAGGAGTGACCCCCAGTTAAGCAGTGTAAGAACAGTGTTTGTGTAGTGCAAATAACAACTGCATCATTTAAAGCCCTAAAACCACTTTTTCAAGTAACTAAAATTAAATAGTGATATTAAATAAAGTTGACTGCTAAAATCATCAAAGGTGGATAGTGTTGCCTCGTTCTCCAAGGCTGTCTGACTTCTCTATTTCCATTCAGTCCTCTATGCCTCTTCACATCCCTCTTCTCCTTTGAGTTCTTTCAAGCACTGTGTTGACACTTCCAGTGTATTTGTTTTAAGGCCTGGGCTCATTTTGGCTTTGAATCACTGTAATATATCTTATTGATGTTCTACTCTCATCATCAGCAGAACTCCTCCTTCAAACCCAGGTGGAGACGTTTATTAGACATATATAACTAGTTGGCAGGCTGTGTATCAACAACACAGGAAGTGTGAGTCATTTACATCTATGGCCAATTCTTCACAATCGGGTGTAACATGGCATACATTATACACACAGACACACAAAGGTGACATGGTTATATTAAACTGAAGATACTCAGGCATGGATTTAATTGTTCAAAGGACATTCGTCTGTTTCACTGGCTCTTGAGAAACAGAGAAACACACTTTGTTGCAGACAAATAGCGTGTGGTTGACAGGCTTCAGTGCCAGTCATTAGCATAGGGAGGACTGTTAACTTTAATCCCACAGAGTGTACGGTGCTGTGTTGGCAGTCTAGATCCAAATTTAAAACTGTGAGATCACTGCATATATCTTGCTGCACAGACTATTACATAGGCAATGTCTTTTAGCCAGAAAAGTGTGGCAGGGTGCCATTATGTCAGCTTTTCACAGAGTATGGCATCAGGCTCGAGACTGAGGTCATGGACACAGCCCTATTGTTTGACCACCTTTGATCACTGGCTGCACATAGTTAAAGCCTTTGATAGTAATCTGGCTTCATGAAATTCAGTAAAGAGCACGCTGTGAATCAATAACTCACTCAAGCCAATTTGGAAAATCTCTGTTGTTCTACATGCCCTTAAATGTATGTGACTGATGACAAAGGCCATAAAATGTTTATATACTGCTGTTGTATCCTATTTACCGGTCAGTACTTATTCTTTATTACTATGAATGTTTATACAGTTGACTAATAGGTTTTTTTTTATGTTATCTTGTTTCAGGCTGAGCATGGAGAGAGTCAGCACCATGAAGATCTTTCACATTCCTGTGATCCCCTTTGTGTTTCTCCTCATCCTTCCTGATGGCATCTTTTCTAGCGAATGCCCAGTAGATTGCAGCTGTTCTTCAGGATCCATTTTTTGTTTCCAAAGACGTTCCTCTACCATGCCAAAGGGAGTGGACCCAGTCACAAAAAGCCTCTACCTGTTTTCCAATGGGATTGAAGGCTTGACAGCTGAGGACTTTAATGGACTACAGAACCTGGACATGCTGGATCTCAGTCAAAATAAACTAACCCATCTTCCCAATCGGGTGTTTGAACCTCTGATTTCTTTGCGAAACCTGGACTTGTCATCCAACCAGATCACTCACATTTCAGAGGAATGCTTCCACGGTATGAAACTGCTTGAGCGTCTTTATTTATATAGTAATCACATCAAGACTATCCACCCTGCAGCCTTTAATGGCTTGGAGCACCTAATTGAACTCAAACTGCAGGGGAACCAGTTGACATCCCTTCCAACCCTATCAATGTCTCATCTGCTGTTGCTGGACCTTCGCTTTAATACTTTACCCACTTTGGGTCCTTCAGACCTTCAGACCCCAAACCTCGAGTCACTCAAATTGGGAGGTGTGGGGCTTACCAGTCTGAATGAGGAGCTCATAACTGGTCTGAAGAATCTCCATGAATTGGACATCTCAGAAAACAAACTCGAGTCTTTTCCCTCAGTGCTTAAAGAGACCCCAGGGCTGATTCACCTTAGCCTGGCTGGAAACCCAATGGGTCCTGTTAAGGTTCAGGACCTGCAGAACCTTGGGGAGCTGCAGGAGTTGGACATAAGCAGCCTCAGTCTGCAGGGCCTCCCTGAAGAGTTCTCCCAGCTATTCCCCCACCTCAGAAAGCTCACACTTGCACAAAATCCCTTCAACTGCCTCTGCAACTTAGCATGGTTCCCGAGATGGCTCAGAACCCAGAGCATCACCCTTGAGAAAACAGAGGAGACCCGCTGCCATTTCCCACCTATCAATGCTGGAAAGGTATTAGAAAGACTGGATCATAGAGATTTTGGCTGTCCTACCACAACCACTGTCACCACTAGTACTGTAAAAACAACTACCACCCAGCCTGCTCTAGTCACTACCTTCCCAACAACTACTAAGGTAATTCCCGCTCCTCGGGCCAGTGACAACCCCACTGAAAAAGAAGGTGATTCTCCGGACCCCCCTGTTCCTGCGTCCCCCAGTAGCAGCATAAACCCAGACGAGGAGAACTTCTGTCCCTCTCACAACTGTCTGAATGGGGGTACTTGTCATTTGGACCAACGTGGTCAGGTAATGTGCACCTGTCCACCTGGTACCTCTGGCATGTACTGTGAAGTCCAAAACCATCACCCACCTTCACCACCTGATGCAGAACCCCACATACCAACTGTCACTGCAGACACACTCGACATCAGCTTGCGTGAGATAACCGGAACTTCTGTCCTCCTGGACTTTCATCGCTACACTGAAAAGCAGCCTAACATCCATGGAATCCGTTTAACCTACCGCAATCTCTCTGGACCAGATCGCAGACAAATTCAATTCAATCTCCCTCCAACCTTGCTGGAGTACACACTTAACGGCCTGAATCCTAACTCCACCTACATGGTGTGTGCCAGTCCATTAAGGTCCCCCAATGGCATAGACAGCGTCTGCACCGAGGTCCATACAGCCCCTCGAATCCTTAGAGGCACTATTCCACTGGTTGAGGATCCAAAGCTAACCAAAATGCTGGCCCCTGCAATTGTGATCCTGCTACTTCTTATACTGATAGCAGTAGCAGTGGGAGTGGTATGCTATCTTCGCAGGAAGAGGACCAAGGGCAACCTAGACCTTGACTGTGATCCCTCCCAGCTAGAGTTGGATGGAGTTAAAGCTGGCTTAGACAATGGGCCCCTGCCTCAAAAGCAGTTGCAACTTATGATCCCAGAACCTGCTGTTCAGAGTGGAAATCAGGAATATGAGGTTTTACTACTACAGGATCACTGTATGTCAAATAACAACATATCTTTACATAAGCCTTCCTGCTTTTGACAACTGCCTTTTTCACTACTCTAATCCCAATGAGGATTTTTAAATGTTCAACTTTGCCCTCCTAAGTAAAAAAAAGAAAAAGAAAAAAGGAGCAGCTACTGCCGTTGTGAAAGTGGACAACAAAGTGTCAGCTGACCAACCAGGAAACAGGAAGATGGACATATATTGAACTTCCTGGTTATTTCGTTGTCTAAGCAGACGTTAAACAAGTTCAGAATTTGCTTTTGGACTTCAAAAAGCATAAAATGTGCTTTTCACTCCATTTAAAGGCTGCATATTTGCTTGAATGCAGTCAGGCCCCATGGTGTGATATGATGCTGGAACTCGTGTTTTTTTTGTCATTGACTGAAAACAGGGTTAAGAGACAGATTCACCTCATGCTCTCCTTTATCTGTCCATAAAGGGGTGTGGACTAAAATGGGGTTGTGCTGCCTTTCCCGATCACACCAGCCCAACTAAAACAGTCAGCATTTTTTTTTTGCTGAGTGGAACTCATCAGTACTACCCCACAACGGGATCAGTGCTTGCTTGCTGTGAATGACCTTTAAGACACTAAATGAAGTTGTGCAAAGAAAAAACTGATGCCTTTATTGTTTTATCTGGCTCTAAGACTTTGTTATGTATGTTTGTCATGCTTTTTTTTTTATATCTGTGTCTATTATTTTTTTAAAATTGTGCAACATTGTGACTGTTAACAGCCCTCAGCACCCTCCTCCCCACCTCTTGTGACTAACAGACAAAACAGCAGATTAAAATCTTTGAAGATTAAAACTCATTGGTACCAGTAAAGTCAATCAAAGAGCTTTGCCCCCAGAATATCAGACAGTCTAAGTAGATGTGAGTCTGGACAGAGTCGAGACTAAATCCCCCTTCTCCATACTGGAGCCCTCAGCCTGCTTTGCCACCACAAAGAGAGGAGGTAAGCAGGATTAAAAGTACAGAGTGGAGCAGTTGACATATCCCCCTCTGTTTCACAGGTAATTACAGTAAAACACTTGACAATACGCAGCAAAACTTCGGATACCTTATTTATAGTTTATAGTCACCGTTTTATCCCTCAACCAAAATACACTTAAAACATACTAACCGGCCTGGCTGACAAAAAGTAAAGCAAACAGTGGATGTGTATTGTGTTTCCCTTGATTAAAAAATAGCCTGCATGTAACGCTATGCACAATTTCTCTTTGGCAAGCAGGATCCCGGTTTTGCTCATTCGTACTAAACGAGACTATGAACAGGCACAAGCCAGAATGCAGCTAACAGAGTGTTTATATTGTTGTGAGACTAGCAGAGATCCACTGCATGACTGCTATTATTACAGACAGGTCAGTAAGCTCCAAAGCAAATTAATGAGAGGTGCATGAGGGGGTGCAGGTGTGTGTATGTGTGGATGCGTGTGTGTGTGTGTGTGTGTGTGTGTGTGTGTGTGTGCAGATCTGTCATCATCAGCGATAATGCAAGCACATGTTCTGTCTTGCACAAACACCTGTATCAGTTAACCCCTTTATGTGCCCACATGCCTGCGGAGGTACTTAAGCAACTCCACTTAAAGGCAAACACACCAAAGACACCTCTGTGAATGTCTGTAAAGTTACCGTACCTAAAGTATTTCCAGTGTACAGCTAACAACTCTATGCTAACGTAAGCGTCTGGAGAACCCACGATCATGTGATAAAACTGGAATATTTTTTTCTGTAAAATAGAAAATATTGAAGATCACCACAAGTATTTTCGATGTGATTGTTAATTTTTCCCTGTTTACTTTGGGAAACCCTTTGCTATTATGTGTTGTTTATTTTTTACTCTGTGAACATCTTTGTACAAGTGGAAAAAGTGATATCATTAAATGAATATCCAAAAATACAAATCATCCTTTTTGTATTTCTTTCTATACATTTTTGCTGGTGTTTATTATTCTTAATGGTCTATAGCTGCCTTAACATTTACAATCAGTCTATGCCACCTTATTGGCAAACAACACTTAGCGTGTGCCTGCCAACTTTTTGTTCACATTGTCATTCACCAAACAAATTCCTAGCTATATGGCCACTAGTATTATTAAATTAAAAGAAGCTCTGTTTGTTTTAAGATCACACTTTTGCTTCAGTCTGAACACAAGTAGAGTGGCTACAGCAATACAAACACCAGAAAGTGCCACTCCTGTCATCTAAGTCTCTGCTGTAATATTCAGAGTGAGGATTTTGCATAAGCACGTCAAAATGTAATTGGATCAGCACTTCAGGTGCAGCTTGGTGTGGAGAATTTTTAATCACACTTTGAGAATCAGTAATCCAAGTATTATTGTTATTAGCTTTTTGATTATTAAGTAGTACCATTAGTAAAACCTAGTATTAAGACGTACCTAATAAAATGGCTGGAGATCACAGACATATTATGTAGGTTCAGCCTCAGTCACATAGACCTAGAGACCTATCAGAGACCCCCTATAACAACCTCTGGTCACAACCTGTTGGTGAGTGGTTGCGGGCTGTTGCTAGGTGAAATGGTCACATAGAGGAGATCATTCGTCCTCAAAGTAAAGGTTGCGCTCAGAGTGAGGCACAACGTTACTGGTTTGTATTTCACATTTTCAAGTTTCAGTACAGCTTGGTGTGTGTTTGCGAGTCAAGTCGGTGAATACTGTACATTCCTAGTACAGCGTTCTGGCAACGAACAAGGCGACTGCAAGGAGCTTTTTTGTGCAGCACCCTCTTTGTTACCAATTTCACCAGACATCAACTACTTCAAACTGAACTGGAAAAACGTGTTTTTCATCATTCAGTTTTGAGAATATCTTTGACATCTTTCACTCTAGTCTACATGTCAAAGCGTCGTTGAACAAGATACTGAATTCTGAGTCCATTTACCATTTAGAGATAAACTGATTTCAAGGTCAGACGTTTGAAGAAGCTCTCTCTGTTATGTCTTTGGTAGAGCATTTGTTTCAGGTTAAAAACTAGATTGGGTAATAAGGTGAATCCTGTTTTTTTTTAACTTAATAAATTTAGTTTCTGTTCATTCTTTATCTTTAAGGTATGTTCTAAGGTTTTTGCTTGCCTACATTTTATCTTGCAAGGTAATCTTTAAGCTGAGCCTGATGTTTCCTTGAACATAAAACAATGATTCCCATTCTCTTCTTCATAATGAGAATTATAGCCTATTCATATGACACCATTATCGGATTGGTACCGAGTCCTGGCAGATATCTCAAACCAGGGTATCTGTATCGGATGGTAAGTGGAAAAACATTGACCGTGCAACCCCTTCTACAAACTATTGACTTCTGTCTGCTGAATCCAGCCATAATCCACTACCCAAAACAAACGTTTATAACTGTTTAATGTCGTCTTTCAGTGCACGAGAGGTCTTGGAATTCTTCCTTGCCAGCAGTGTGCTGAAGGCAAAATGGAAATAAAGATTATGATTGAAAACAGGCAGAGGAAGGTAATAAATGGATTTAACCATTATGACTGACTCACTAAATAAGTAAGCGTTGTTTGCTAACCCGTACAATAAACAGAACTGCCCACCCATGTGTTTTATAGGTAGGATGTTGGTATGGGGATTGATGCAGGATGCAAGCACACACCCCCACACCCACAAACAAAAGCAAACTGGCCCATAGCTGTGAGCGGTTGGTCCCACGCTAACAACACAAACACATAAAACAGCACCACTCCTGTCATGCAGGCACTATTATATCAATTTGCTCAGATGGCACAAACTTCCTGGTGAAAAAAAACAGAGGAAATAATGCAGGAACCTAGAGGTTAGTGGGTTTTAACTGTTTTTTGTCCTTTTAAAGCAGTTTTAGCCACCATGTTTTTTTGAGGTTCTCAATATTTATCCAAACTGCTATAGACACACTTTTTTTTAAGGTGTAAAGGGACTTACCGTCTTTTGTACAAATAATTATTACTGTATATGTGCAAGCTGCAGTGACTCAAGGTTTGAGAATTGGATATGTAAGTAAATAGGAAGAGGTGGAACAAAGGAAGTTTCTGTGTGTGGGTTCTCTCCTTTCCTACTGTAGAACAGTTCCTCTTTTTTCCCCCTGGCTTTAAAGGAAATCTGGTTCCTGGACAAGAGCCAGTTTTGACACTCACTCAGCCCACCCTGCTCAGTGGTCCCTACTGTAGTTTTGTAATTTCAAGAGACTCTTTTCTCACTCACACACACACACACACACACACACACACACACACACACACACACACACACACACACAC